AAAAAAAAAGATATAAACCAGATTTCCCCCCCGCCCCGAAATAATAAAAAGAATAAACTTTAACAAATATATATTTAAAAGATTTAAAAGTATTAGCAATTATATATAAAGCAGTTTAAAAGAAATCAAGAGAAAACTGGATTTTAGCTTGAGAAAAACTATTAGATTATACTAAGCTGTGTGTCTTGTGGCAAACTCATTCTAAGAGTAGCACAATATTTACCTTTTCTCTGGATGGAAGGTACGTGCAAGCAGTTCTGTTCGGGTCTTTCCATTGGGATTCAGTGTCACGTCTTTCTTTTTACACTGTTAAGAACTCAAAGGATGTGCCTTGTTTTATGGAGGTTTTTGTTAATTCTTCTACTGGAGGTGTTTAATTTCTTTTGGAGTGTCTTCAGGTTTTGTTTTTTATTACTTTTTTTTCCCCCCTTTTTTTGGCATTTGTTTGGTGTGCGCGCGCGCTCGTGTGTGTGTGTGTGTGTGCGTATGTGTGCACGCGGGGGTGCGTGTGCTCGTGTGCGTTCTGCGGGACGCACTGCTGTATATTCATGTATAAACTGGAGTTGAAGTCTGGTTCAGTCACTTGAGTCCCGATGAATGCATTTTTTTGCTTGTGGTTTCAAAACAAAAGTGTTGCTGTTCCTTTCTTTTCTTGAGACGTACAGAGTGGTCTCTCCCTCTGCCTCCCCCTCCCCTCCTTTCTCCCCCACCCCATCTCTCCCATTGTGGTCGCTGATCCAGATGTGTTTGGCACAACTTTGAAATTTCTTTAAAAAAAAAAACCAAAAAAACAAAAAAAGACTTTAAAAAGAAAAAAAAAAAAAAATCACCCGCCTGAAAATATCTGTTGAAAAGAAAAAAAATATGTATCTAAGAAAAAAATATCCATAAAGTTCTACATGATGGATATATACATATATATATTTTTTATGATTAAGTTATGGACTCTGTATCGTATCCCATCTGTCAAGCTATGCATCTTGGTGCTTCTCCCTGCTCTTCTGTGCTTAGATTTCACCTCTACTCGTCTTATTCTTCCTATTCTGAATAGTAGATGGCTCGTGGTGCTGTGAAGAAGTTTGCTCCTATACGAAGTCTGGCAACAAATATTTAAAGAAAAATAAAAAAATAAAACCCCTCCCAGGCTGCCACCACTGTCTGTGTCCCATAACCGTCAGCCGCCATGTGCGATGGCTCCTGGGCACGGCCGGGGTGGGTGGGCACGGAGACACACTGAGGACACGGGTGTGACGGGACACAGAGAGGCCACACGTGTCTTGGGGGGTGCGTGGCAGCCCGGCGGGCTGGGAACTGCTCTCCCCACTCCCCGAGGTGCCTGGTCCCTGCACCCCGTTTCTCAGAGCAGGCGGGTGGGCGCAGGCCAGAGCTGCCGCCGGACCGGTGCTGGCTGCTGGCTCCTGCAATAACTCACGCTGGCCAGGAACAACTCTTTCTGCTTTTATTGTCAATGAAGAAATAATCAAATCTATATTACAATCTTAAAAACAGTAGAAAATGTGAGTAAAAATGCAATGGAGTCTTTTTAATGTGGAGACCATTATTACAGGGTGGTGAACAATGGGCTTGTGTTATCTGAGAACTAGCTGTGGCATAAAAATCGTACCTGGCTACTCCAGAAAACCTCTTCCCAGATGGATCAGCCTGACATCCTGGCAGTAAAATTAAATATTAGAGACAGAAAAGGGGTCGGGGTCCCAACGCAGGGCAAGGCCTAATGCTCAGGTCTATTGTTTACAAGGGGACCAACCTCCCAATGTGGCTGCCCCTGCCCGTGACCAGCTGAGCCGTTCAGTCCCATCGCTGGCCAAGGGCCACTCTGCATCTGCTGCAGTGGCCTGGGGGGGGGCTGCCCCAGCCTGGGGACCCAGCCCTGGCCCCCTGGGGACAGCTCCCCAGCCCGGGGTGCGGGGCACCCTGCGGCACAGAAGGCGCTGGCACCTGCATTTCTGATTGCCGAGGGTGGCTCTGAGGGAACGTCTGGAGCAGCCGCGGGGCAGAACCGCCCCAAGAGCCGCCAGCGGGGTCCTTGGCAGCGGGGGGAAGCGGCCGGGGGGCGGCCGCAGGCAGTGGTCGGTGTGAAGAGGAGCTGCAGCAGTTATTTATTTCATAGTGGTGTGTGTTAAGTGACCCAGCAGGCCAGCGGAGGGGAGGAGTTTTTGGTCTTTCAGTGTGCAGGACTAGTGTGGGGCTTGCGCTAGCACGTCCAGACCTGTGGAGGAGAGACAAGGAACCTGTGGCAGGAACCATCCGGAGCAGCGCTCTGGGATTCTCCTCATCCTCTGGCGGAGCTTCCAGCATCCATGACGCCCTCTGTCTGGAGTTAAACCTCCCAACCATTGAGAACCAGCCCCTTGTTTATCTCAAGATGGCTCCTAACTCATTTAATGCCCTAATTCTAGCATAGGAAGAGACCAAACCACAGAGGAGAAGCCTGAGGAAACCAACCTTTACAGTGCTGTCCACGGCACCGGAGAAGAGGCGTCCCCGGGAGACGGCGAGGGCAGTGACGCTGCCCTGGTGTCGCAGCAGTGTCTGAGTGCAGATCATGTTGTCCATGCTCCACACCTGCGGGCACACGGAGCCATGAGCTGGGCTCTGGCACAACCCTGGGCACCAGGAGGGATGGGGGGAGCGGAGTGCCACAGGGTTGGAGACAGGTGGCACAAATTAAACATGAGGCCATGTGGCACACGGGGACGAGGATCCCCTTCCTTCCTTCCTTCCTTCCTTCCTTCCTTCCCCTCGAGGCTGTCCGTGTGTTACCAATGGTGCCAGATACACAGACACAGCTGCCCAGCCCTGGACACGTACCCTGAGAGACCGGTCGTAGGATGCACTGAAGACTTTGGTTTGATCCGGTGTGGAGATGACAGCCAGGGCGTAGACCGTACCCACGTGCCCGGTCAGCGTGCGGACTTGTTCCTTTGTTTCAATATCCCAGACCTGTGGGAGGAAAGCAGGGCTGGGGGGGTCACACTGGGCTACAGGCCACCACCTTCTCCTCTGAGTGGTCTCCACCTCCATGCACACCTCCAGGGTGGGTGCTGAGCACCCAACACCCCAGCTGTCACAGAATCCCAGAACCATCTCAGTTGGAAAAGCCCTTGAAGCTCCTCCAGTCCAACCATGAACCCCACACTGACTGTTCTCAACTCCACCAAATCCCTCAGCGCTAGGTCAACCCGACTCTTCAACCCCTCCAGGGATGGGGACTCCTCCCCTGCCCTGGGCAGCCCATTCCAACACCCAACAGCCCCTTCTGCACAGAAATCCTTCCTCAGAGCCAGCCTGACCCTGCCCTGGGCAGCTTGAGGCCATTCCCTCTTGGCTTGGCGCTGGTTCCTTGGCTCAAGAGACTCATCCCCCCTCTCTGCACCCTCCTGTCAGGGAGTTGCAGAGGGCGATGAGGTCTCCCCTCAGCCTCCTCCAGACTAAACCCCCCAGTTCCCTCAGCTGCTCCCCAGCAGACCTGTGCTCCAGACCCTGTCCCAGCTCCATTGCCCTTCTCTGGACACGCTCGAGTCATTCAATGGCCTTTTTGGAGGGAGGGGCCCAAAACTGAACCCAGTAATTGAGGTGCAGCCTCACCAGTGCCAATTCCAGGGCTGTGCCACAGAAGGGACCAGCAGAGCCAGGCGCCCATCTCCTTGCCCCTCTCCCCCCAGCCTCGAGCCTACAAACGCAGCAAAGCCCCAGCCCTTACATGGATGAGGTTCTCGTAGGTGCCACAGACGATGTGGTGGTTTGTCACAGCAATGGAGTAGACGCTGCCTCCTGACGTCTGCAGCACGTGGACACACTCCAAGTTGCGGATGTCCCAGATCTGAAAGAGATGCCGGAGCAAAGGCAGAATGAGGCCCGTGCAGGGACCCCTCTCCAGGAGGAAGCTCCCTTGAAGCTATTATCCAGCCACACGTGGAGTCAGCCTGGCTCCACGTGTGCCCAGATCACATCTTTAAGGACAAATCTGTCCGGCTGGGAATGTTCAGTACTGATGACCACAAAGTCCTGCTGTCTTATTTAGCTGCCCAGCTTTGAACATCCAGGCTGAAAAAACTGCGGAGATTGCACACCCTTTGTGTGTGACCAGGCACACACGTGCACATACAGCCCAGAGCCTGACAGCACTAACAACTGCTGCAGACAAATTAATGGGGATTTATTACCTCTGAGGAGGGCAACTTCAAATTCTCTTGTGCCACCCAGATACTGAAAGGTGAACTGTTCATCAAAGCCTGAGCCAACCCAGGTCGAGGGCATTTTGGAAACCACACAGAGATTGATGGTAACGCTGCAGCCAGACAGTGACCTTCTCCTCTTATCAGCAGGACTGTCAGCGCAGATAATGCTGCGGAGGCAGCACGAGGCACTGTGGCTGCGAGGCTCCGTTTTATCTCGGCTAGCATCCCCCTGCAGCCAGGTTCCCAAGGAGCAGCCAGAGGCCAGCCTTTGCGCCTGCAGAGATGCCATCAGCGCAGTAACATCCAGCGTGTCTGATGCTACAGCCACACTCTGACATCCTACAGCTACCGTTTGTCCTGCTCCACCACCCCACACTGCAGAGTACAGGTATGGGGAGGCACGGGGAGAGCCAATGGGTTACAGTTGCCACAAGTCTCAGGGTCTCACCTTGATTGTTTGGTAAGATCCGCTGTAGAGATAGTTTTGGGAAGCCACCAGGGCTCGCACCCAGTGATTGAGACCTGTCAGTTCCTTCTTCAGTTTGAGCTCGGTACCTACAATATCCCAGACCTGTTGAAAGCACAAACACACACAAAGGCGGCGGAGTCTCAGTAGGACAGGGCAGCAGTGGGGCAGAGCAGGTCAGCCCCGAGCTGGGGAGCTAGGCACTGCCCACTCTGCCCAGCAGCCAGCACAAGGCCCTACCACCTCACAAACCGGAACCTAGGGCTGGTTCTCCTGCCCTCTGGGAATCACCTGAACCCACTGACTTGCAGATAAACCACACAATAACTACGCTGAGTAAGCATATTCCCTGAGGGCCTGGGAGAGCCAGCTCTGACATCACTGGCAGAGACCCTTCCCTAGCAGAGCTGTGGGCTTAAAAAACCTCAACCAAATCTGCAGTAAAGAACCCTCTGGACTTCCACTCCCAGCCTGTCCCCACAAAGCTCCACTCCCATGGCTCCTGGGAAACCATAGCCCAGAACGACAGACAGATCTCACTCTGCCACTGGGTCTTCTCGGCTCATCTGGCAGAAAGTGGCTGGGGATGACAAAAATAAAAGGCCCCAGTTCTCCTTCTGCTTAGTGCTGTCTCACTGCTCCTCCAGCCCCAAGTGCTCTTAGAAGCTGAGCCACTCCAGGCCCCAGATAAAGAAAAGAGCATGTGCCCTCCTACAGATGGATGGTCCCATAAGCCGTCTCACCAGGAGCTGGAAGCAGAACCAAGGGAATCTAGCCAAGGCTTTAAAGGGCAACTTGCAAAGCTGTTCCCTGATTTCTGCAGGCTTTAGGTAAAGAATGTAGATTCAAGAGTCTTTGGAGGGGGGTTTCAAAACAGGCAGCCTGAATCCTCAGCCGATTCTGGACCTCAGACCCAATTCCCAATGGTCTGAGTAGGTCTGTTGGGGGCCCAAGGAAACACACTCAGGAATTGCCAAGAGACTCCACCTGCAGTCTTGGGTTTACAGAGTTAGAAGAAACAAAGTGTTTTTTCAGCCAGGTCCTAGAACACCTCTGACTTCAGCACAGAGCATGGGCTGAAGCTCTGCAGCGCTTGCTGCTCTGTGTAACCGTTCTCTCTGTGGTTCAGAACATAGCAACAAGGTCACCTACAGACCAAAGTGCTACTTTCTTCTTCCTGCTTGGACACTGCTGCCTGATAATTTGTACCCTTGATCCCCAAAGAGGCCTAGAGGAGTCACCCCAGAGCTCTACCTTGATGGCTTTGAGAGAGCCGCTGAACAGCATGTTGTGTGAGGAGACCAAAGTGCAGACAGGATTGTCGTGTGCTCGGATCGTGTTCACTTTCTGCAAGTTTTGAATATCCCAGACCTGCAAAGGAGAAGAGTGCCCGTGAGGGGCAGGG